TAAAAATGTTTTCAACGAAATATTTTTAAATTCTATTATTAAATTAGTGTCATAATTAAAAGGGCATTGAAATAATATTGCAATGTTAATATTAATATTATTTGTGAAACTAGCAGCTATATAAAACGATTTAAGGTAATTCTTTAAAAATGAAATTTATTAAATACTGAATCTCGTTATAAAAAATTCTGGACTTGTCAAATTTTTATTAAATTATTATTCAATTAAAAGTAACATAATTAGAAAAACTTTTTGAACATTTATCAACGTATGTTTATGGCTTTTATCATTAATTAATTAATTAAATTTACCGAGATGTATGGTGGACATTTAAATCGTCAATTTGTAATTTGATAAATTAATTTAAAAATTAAAGTATCTGCATTTTATAATAAATATTTATAATTATTTGTCAATAATAATATAAATTATTTATAATAATTGTAAATAAATTTCTTGCATTCTTTAAATCAAAATTTTTTATACAACGCAATGTTTTTTCATATTTTTTATAATAAAGAAACTTATTATTAATTTTTATATCTATAAATTAATTAAAAATCGTAATTAGCTACGATTATTTCATTTATATTTTTAACTATTTAATATTATTTAAGTATTAATATTTAATATATTATTATTTAATAAATATTTACCTATTAAGCAATGTTGTGAATTGACCAGGGAAAAACAGGAAAAAGCTTTATTGCTGGATTTTAAGACGGTTACGTGAAAAACTTGTCTTTTTTCAAAATTCGATAAAGACATAATTTTTATTTAAGACTTTTAGAAAATTGTAAAAACAATTGTATTTCCAAAACGGTTCACAGTTATTTGAAAAAACAATTATCCCACAAAACTAGATTTTAATACTTTTTTTTAAATCTAATAAAAGTGACTGGATGAGTTAAATCCTTCTATAATTAAATTGATGTTGGTACAATAAAAAAATCCTTCCTTTTTTATTGAAATTTTGAATCAATTTTTGTAAATACATAAATTTTTTTTAAATTACTATATATATTATACGACGTGTTACAGTGTGTTTTGTGTTTTAATACAGATATGTTTTTTTATTATAAAAAATATGAAAAAACATTGCGTTGTATAAAAAATTTTGATTTAAAGAATGCAAGAAATTTATTTACAATTATTATAAATAATTTATATTATTATTGACAAATATTTATAAATATTTATTATAAAATGCAGATACTTTAATTTTTAAATTAATTTATCAAATTACAAATTGACGATTTAAATGTCCACCATACATCTCGGTAAATTTAATTAATTAATTAATGATAAAAGCCATAAACATACGTTGATAAATGTTCAAAAAGTTTTTCTAATTATGTTACTTTTAATTGAATAATAATTTAATAAAAATTTGACAAGTCCAGAATTTTTTATAACGAGATTCAGTATTTAATAAATTTCATTTTTAAAGAATTACCTTAAATCGTTTTATATAGCTGCTAGTTTCACAAATAATATTAATATTAACATTGCAATATTATTTCAATGCCCTTTTAATTATGACACTAATTTAATAATAGAATTTAAAAATATTTCGTTGAAAACATTTTTAAATTTTCCCGCCATTCGTGTCAACTGATGACGACAAGGCTTGCAGCTTATAAAGACCCGAAAGTTACCCACCTTCAGGTCGTTGGTTAGGTTAGTGGTTAGGGTTCTTGGCTGTTGTGTTGCGCGTCCGGGTTCAATCCCCAGCTCCTCCAAATTTATTTCCGAAAATTGCGCCGTTAATGTTGGGGAAAAATAAAAGAAAGCGCAATAAATTCACTGAAAACTTGCATTTTAATTTTACAGGAAATTTGTCTATATATCTTTAGAGTACTTTCTGGAGATAGTTTTAAAGAAATTCACAAAGCAAATTTCTGTAAAACTCAAAATGTAATATTTCCTAAACTTTTATCCACAATTTTTCGGCAAACTTAATCGGATAACTATCCTGAACTTCGCACCGCGAGTTATAAAACCGAGGACATATAGAGCTCGCCTGAACTTCCCCTGAAGCTCCCCAACTTAGTTTCCGAGCTTAACACGGAGAACTCCCCGCGAACTCCCTGCGAAAAACGGTGCTGTCTGGGTAAAAAATTCTAATTAACCGTGGAGAGTTGTGCAAAGCTAATCGTGTAGGGTTTTCCTGAGTGCAATTTAATTTGTACGGTTATATTTTGTAGTATTTAATCGTTTAGAATTTTTATTATTTGTTTTTAAATTTTATTCCGCATATTATTGTGTAGAATTTTTTTTCAGAGTTAACGGTGTAGGGTTTTCCTGTGTGCAATTGAATGTGTAGAATAAAATTATGTTTGATTTAATTGTGTAAAGTAAAATATTGTTAATTAATTTTATTTTGCTTATTGTACAAGTAGAGGATTTTTTTTTGGAAAATTATCGGTGCGCAATTTTCTCGTGTAGGGTTTATTTGTGTAGAATCTATACCGCCCCCAATTTTCCTCCAAATCCGAAGCATAAATTAGATAAACTAAAGCCTTGAAAAAATTTTATGATAACTTCTAAACACCCTCGGCATTAGAGGGTTAAAATGTTATTTACTGTATTCTTTACTAAACTTTTTTGAAAAAAAGTTTTTTTAACTTAGAAAAATTTTTGAGCAAAGCAACCGTGAGGGCCCTCATGGGGCCCCCGTAGATTCATCCTCATTGATCTGCCACGTGCGGCCCTTTCAGGGGCCCCGAAGTCTCCGGGGCAAGATCGTGGCTTTTTCCACACAGAGCAATATTTTCAATATTCACTGCAATACAATTCTAACACAAATTTGCGTGCAATATAAATTCTATGACTCTATTGAAAATGAAGAAAATGGGGAGTTATGCACAAGCGTTAGTAGGGAGTTGTGCCCCACATCATATTTAACAGTTTTTAATTTTAATATGCACTCTCTATTTTTCTTTCGCATTATTTATGAATAATTCTTATGTTTTATGCAATTTAAATATTGTTCTTTAGTGAGCGTGAGATTTTAACAGGTGCACAATTCCCCTTTTTTTAAAAAAAATTATAAAACCAGTATTTTCGGAAAACAAGCAAAATTTTTATATCCGTTTTGAATTTTAATTAATTGATGATGCCAAAAGTTGTGCTTGTACGTGTACTAAAAGTTCTATATAGTAGAATAGTAAAAACAAATTTATAATATAATAGTTTTGATAAAAAAAAAAAAACCTGGTGCACAACTCCCCATTCTCCCCTATAAATTAAAGTCAATTGAACACCCAACAAAATCATAATATCTTCAATAAGTTAAGAAAAGGTTTACGGACTTTTTGAACCCATTTCTACATTTCGATTTCAAATTTTCAACTTTCGAAGTCTTTCTTTTCAGTTTGGACAAGTTTGATATTCGGCGGTGACATTAGAGTAATATCATGAAGGTACGCATTTTTTTTCATTGTTTTTACTTATAGAATATTTAAATAACCCAAAAAATACATTTTTTTAGAAAACATTGACTGGCGCGAAATATTGATAAAAATTTGGATCAAAAAAATAGGTATCTTTTTTCCCATATAAAAAATACAATTTTGGGGGTTCCGTTATGGAAATTCAAAAGTTGACTTTTTTCCTGGGTATCCTATTATGCAAGGAATTTCAGCAGAGATAAATTGACAAGTGATTTTGTACAATTAATATTAGTTATTAATTATTACATTTTCTAAACAAATGGACCCTTCTAATATCTATTTAAATCTTTTAAAATTACATTTTCTTTATATTTCATCTGTCTAGTTTCATAACTGTGAAATTTTATGGAGGTCCATAATTTTTATTATAAATTAAAAGAAAACGTTCTCAGTTCTTATGAGGTTCACTATATTTTTTATTAAATTTACTCGAAAATTATGTATGTGTACCCACATAGCACGACTTCTTGCTGTGAGTTTACTGTAAGGATATCTGTAGGATTTGTAAGGTTACCGTGTAAGCCTGCAGTAAACTTGAGGTCATCTTAAAACTTCCGCATTACAGTAAATTTACACAGTAAAGCTAAGGTAAGCTTACACAGTAAGGTCGTGGTAAGTTTACATAATAACGTTGTGGTAAGTTTTCAAGGTAAGGTTGTTGTAAGCTTCTTTTAAGGTTACTGTAAGGTTGCTGTAAGGTTACTGTAAACATGGAATGTTGTTAATAAATAAATTTTATTAATATTTATACGCAGTAGCTTTCTATATGGCACATACGGCTGCACAGTAACTTTTATTTGACAAACCCTATTGGGGTTCATGAAGGACATTACCAATTATATAAATTTTTATAAAAAAAATTTATAATATAATATATATGATAAAGTAATTATTTTTAATATATTTTCATATTACTTTAAATTCACAGTAACCTTACAGCAAGGCGGAAATTTTAAGATGATCTCAAGTTTACTGCACGCTTACACGGTAACAATACGCTTTTATTCATTGCCCTAAATATGCAATTTTTTATTGAAATATTAATATACTTTAAGCAAAAACAACAAATAATTTTTTCATTAAGTTAGAAGATTTTCTTAAAAACGGTATTTAAAACAATTGGAATGTGGTTCGATATATTTTTCGTGATATTACGTTCGTGTAATTACACTTGTTACGCAATGTACTATTTTTAAATAGTGCAAGTAAGTTTATTTACCCACATAGCACGACTTCTTGCTGTGAGGTTACTGTAAGGATATCTGTAGGGTTTGTAAGGTAACTTTACATGGTAATGTTGTGGTAAGCTTACACGGTAAGGCTGTTGTAAGCTTCCCGTAACGTTACTGTAACGATGCTGTAAGGATACTGGGAATATAAAGTATTTATTTATTAATAACATTCTATGTTTACAGTAACCTTACAGCAACTTTACAGTCACCTTACAAACCCTACAGATATCCTTACAGTAATCTCACAGCAAGAAATCGTGCTATGTGGGTGCCTTTAAAGGAAAGATCATTCAAATTCAGTGCGCAACTGCAACTGCCGTAGAATCTCTCTGCGCACTAAATTAATTGTAATTTCGTGACTCAAATTTTCTGCCACTTTTCAGTGAAAATATTAAATTTTTTTTGAGTAAAGCTTAAAACTATAACTAACATCTGCGTCCTGAAACATACACTTATAAATCTTTTCAAGTACGATGGACCGCATATTGTGAAACGCACGCTGGGTTTCGCAGGATCAATATATGTAGGCAATGGAGAAACAAAGTAGACGACAGATAGACTAAACTGTTGGTCTTTGACGACAAGGTTTATAAAAAAATACGTGTTTAAAGTTACGAGTATTTTTAATTAAAATTCTATTTAAAAATAACTTGAATAATGATGTACGCAAGATCTTCGTTGTTTGAATGTATTCAATTCTTTACTACATATCAATCTCTCATGAGAATTCGAAAATCATTACGTACTTTTAAATGAAACTGCTGTTTAATAACATACACTTTAAAAAAGTTTTTAAAAATATAATTACTTCCCAATAAAACTGAAACGTCAGAAATTTAAGAAGGTAATAAAAATGACAATATTCTGTTACTATAATTTTATAGTGTTTACATAAGAATAAAACGAGAAAACGTTAAAATTTAAAAACAATGTTCAATCTCAACGAATAAAGCATCTTAAATTTATGCAAAAAGTAAAATTAAACTATTGAAAATAATAATTTAAAATATACAAATATATTATAATTTACCAATGTTTCACAATGTATACAAAATAATTCTTAATTGTTTCTTATAAAGTTCAGTGACATAGATGCCGGTATATTTATAATCATTATCATAAGCTGGGGCTATTTTAGTACAAATAACTTCTTTATGTTTAAAATTTAAATATTAACGTTTGTAAAATTGACTAAAAAGTGTCATTGTTCTTCAATACTTTGCCTACAGAGTGAGTAAATATTTTTTAGACTACTTATTATTTTAAGGTTAAATAAAAATTCCATAATGCATAGATTGTCTATTAAGGGCAGAAACACGACAATTTGGGTGATTGTTAAGAAACATAACATTCTAGAAAATATTTGGAAAACCTGCTGTTTCAGTGAAGATTTAGAAACATGCAATCTCAAATGACAAGCTTTTGTTGAAAGTTTTTTAGATTAGTAACACTGAAAATGAGAAGTTGTTTAACAAAAAAATATTATTTTGTTAACTTTTAATAGATGAGTTGCTAAAAATTTTAACTTGTTATTTCAAAATTTTTAATAAAAAATATCTTTTAAAAAAATATTTAACCCTTTAACGGCGAATGGTTTCAATCGAAACCACTTTTGAATTCAAAAATTCATAACTTCGACAAAAATTAAAATATTTTTTATTTCTAAACGCCACACATTGAGGCAGAATGCATGAAAAGTTGGCATAAAATGTATTTCTTTATAATCTCTTTGGTTAAAAAATTAAAATTCTCATCTAACTTATTTTTATTTGAAACTTTCATAATATGAACAAGTTCTCTCTTCTTAATGAACAACGCAGTTGATTATTTAAACAATTTAATGGAATTAAAAATACTTATTCAGCAAAGATAAAAAAATTGCAAGTATTTTTCATTCAATCATATGAATATAAATTTCAAATATTACATATATAATATAATATAATATAATAATCTCCGCATTCATTCATTCTGTCTGTCCACACTTGAAGTTAGTCGTTTTTGAGTTCTGTTTGCTATTCTAAACTTTTGATAATTCTTGATTTCCTAGGTGCGAATTTTTGGTCGGCCCAAAGTTAGGTTGGTCCTATGCAAACGCAAGTTCCTACATACACTTTTGAAAATATCTAACGCTTGCTGGGATCGAACCCTAAACTATCGCGCCACAGACTTATACGCTAACAACTAGACTATACACTCACATACGAGCATGAATAAAAAAATGATTTCATAAGTTGCGACCCAGTTGAAATTTTTTTTAATTTCTTGATAATTCATTAAAAGTCATAAAGAGTTGATAGAAGCCACAGAATAATTAAATACTGAGATAGGAAACAACTTTTTATTATTTATAAACAATGATTATTGAAAAAGGTTTGATATAGGTTGGGCCAACCAAACTTTTCAAGGTGGTAAAAATTAAACCTACAAAATTAATGTTGTTTGAAGGCGTTGTATTGCAATTTCTTTTTGCATTAATTTAAATAGAATTTTATTTAAATAAAAAAAATTATTTTTGGGCACTTTAGAAATTTTTTTTTAAATTAAAACTTATAAATTCATAGGCTTAATTGTTTAAAATCTCAAAAAAGGGAATAAAAAATTTGTAAATGAAGAATAATAAAAAATGTGGAGGCAGGTTAATTTTTATTAAACCAATAAAAATTGACCTTGTTTAGGCGAAACAATTTTTTTAAAACATTTTTTTTAGAACCTGAAAACATTTTCCACTAACAAACATTTTTAAAGTAATTTTAAACTAGTCAACAATTTTCTTTTATTTTAAAAAATTTTTATTATTCGAAAAAATTGTAATGTTTTAAAATACATACGATTGATTATACGGAATAATAAAAAATTCGTATAAAAACATGGTCAATAAAAATTATTAGAAAATTTGATAGAAAATAAAATTTTAATTTTTTAAAATTTTTGTTTAATTTAAAAATATTAAAAAATTAAATGTTATATTAATTTTTATAGAATATTATAATTTTAAATTTCAAATCAGTTCTGATTTTCGACATATCCCTTGAGGAAAGTAAAGATTTTTAAAAACATCGTTCTTTTGTCCATTCCCTCCATGATATTTAATGGATGTCCACCGTGACTTTGAGTTAAACTTAATTCGGAATCTCCAGTCTCAGAAATTTTTTCTTTAAGAACCATTAAAACTAATTGACTTTACTTTGTAGGTGACATATAATTTTTACACAAGTTGATAATGTTTCGAAACATTGAAGTTTCATTGGAATCGTGAGATTTTCCTTTTCCAATTATAGATAAACATTTACTGCAACGTTTTTCAACAATGGATTTATCATTTGACTGACCTATTAATCAAAAAGTGTTGTAAAATACATCGGGCAAATAAAATTTATTTTTCACAACTGAATCATTAAAAAGGTACTTTTTGATAATTGTCGAGCAAGCGTAAAATATCGTATTTCAAGTGGTGTGAACAGAGACGTACGAAATATCTCATTATTACACCGCTGTGACTTAGAAGTCCAAAAGTAAAGCAATTACTTCTGAAAATTGCTTAATTGTGTACTTTAAAGAATTAATGAAAACTTTTAAATCGCCTACACTCTGGTCTTAACACTCCATGCTTAAAAGCACAATTGCAATTTATGAAGGTATTTAGATCAAGAAGTAAAAAACATTAACCGCTCTTTTAAAAAGTTTTACTCGTGGATACCAGGGAAAGAAAGCAAAAGTATTTACAGCTGAGCAAGTTCAAGAGTTTTTGCAAAAAGCTTTAGACAGAATATACCTTGCAACAAAGGTGAGCATAGTTTGTAAGAAATAAATAAAAGAAACACTTTAAACTTTTTTACACAATGCAATAAGTAAATTAAATATTTATTAATTGCAGATTAATAACAGATTAAAAGTTTTTTCAAATATCTTGTAATTAAAAAATTATTTACAGTGTTCACACAATCAAATAAACAATTTAAACACTTTGTTTAATTATTAATTAATTTCTTTTCCAAAAGTCACTTAATCATTAAACTTACTAAATTAAAATAAATTAAATTATTTAAATTAATATTTGATTTATTAATATTTTAAATAAATTTAAAAAATTAAAGTTTTACACTATTTCCAATTTACACGGTTTAATACGTCAATTATAAATTGATACTTTTTTCAAATGTCTTTAAATAACACAGGCACACAAAAGAAAAAAAATTCTAATTGCTAGGACTGCCATATAGTACATTTTCTTCCTTAGGATGTATCTAAATATAAAAACGTAGTCCGACCTTAAAGTTAGTTCGTGTTTTCTTTTTACAGGCATGGTGGGGAGGTGATTTTTGAGAAATTGATTTCTATGGGAATTTACTCAATTTCTATATCTAAAACTAAATTTTTGCTTCTTCTGAATGCTGATTTGGTTTCAGTGACTTTAATAACATAAAAATTGGATATAAAAAAATTAAAAATGGCAGATTAAAAATAGTGGATTTCTTCAAAAAATTGCTTGGATTTCTTTGAAACTTGTTACTTGGGGGTTTTGGGGTCGTTGATTACAACCCTCACAGCGTAGGATATCCGGCGGATATCCCATATTCATCACGTGATATCCGTAGGATATCCTATGGGATGGAAATTTTGATGTCTCAGGAATATTTACGGGATTCCCCTGGGATATCCCTAGGATATCTCATATATGTCCTGTGCAGGATATCCCTGGGATATCCCACGTGGGATTTATACCCGGGATGAGTAGAAAGAAAACAGGTATTATCGTTTTAAGATGGCGGACAACGACTTAAAGTGTTGACGTGTGTCAGCAAACACGTCGTATATTTTTTTAAATTTTGAGTAATTTTAAGTCTAAACTACATTACTTTTGATTGTCTTTGTTTTTTGTTATAAATTCATAAAATTGATTGAAGTTGTTGATATATTTCGTGATATTATAAGGCATATGTCAAGTGACGCCATAGTGCACTTGTGCGCCTATTGTTTTTTCAGTAACTTCAAGTATATAATATTAATTCTGTGAACAAATACAAAACAAATAAGTACACTGTTTCTTTTGTATAGTGTTTTTTTAGAAAGCAATTTTATACATTCTCAACCTGGGCAAAAAATTTCAAAAGAAAGACAATTTTAGGTTATGCGTCGGGAAATGTTGCTTCATCAAAATCCTGCATTATATTTAAAAATAAAATTTTTATTTTAGAAGATTATTTCAAAATAAATATATTTGTTTTTGTGGAAATTATTTTTTATGGAAAAAGCATTTACTTTATTTGTTGCAATAAATAAAATTTCATTGCTTAGAATACCCTACGTGGGATATCCCACAAGTAACCCAAGGGTCGGAAATTTGGATATCCCACCCACAAAGCACGGCTTCTTCCTGTAAGGTTACTGTAAGGATATCTGTAGGGTTTGTAAGGTTACCGTGTAAGCCTGCAGTAAACTTGAGGAAATCTTAAAACTTCCGCCTCACAAAGGTGAGCATAGTGAGCATTTTTACACAATGCAATTAGTAAATTAAATATTTATTAATTGCAGATTAATAACAGATTAAAAGTTTTTCCAAATATCTTGTAATTGAAAAATTATTTAATTTAACCCTCGGAGCACATACTGGGTCACACAGACCCTGTCATTAATTTCAATGAAGTGTAATTTGAAAAGTCGACAATACAACCCGAACCTAAGGCCATATAGTGGTAACTATCTAATAAGAAATAATAAGTAACATGATAATCCAAAGAAAATAATAAAATACTAGTAAATATGTTATTAAAAAAGTATAGTTTTAAAAAGTTTTGTCGAAAATCACATTTTTATCGTCTTAAAAGTTACCTTCGTTAAACTACAAAATAAATACCTTTTTTAAAAAATAAAATAAGGTGGTATTTTTCCCCTTATTCTAACACACTTCGAGAATATAAATCCCAATTTTTAGCTTAAAATATTAAAAATTACATTTTTTTTAAATTCAATTTTTTCTTTTTAATTAGTTAACTTCACGAATTTTTTTTCAATATGCAAATAATTCAATAATATTTCTTAACTGCATATTCTTATTTTACAAGGTTCAATGAATAAAAAAATATTTTTTTTGTGTTGATCAGTCCAATAGTTCAAAAATGGGGGAGTTTTGTAAAGTAAACAGGGTCACAGCGACCCAGACTGTGCTACTTGTTCGAAAAAAGAGGTGTGTGCTCCGAGAGTTAAATTAAATATTTATTTAAATTTAAATTTATTAATTAGTTTAATTTAAATTTAAACACTTTGTTTTATTATTAATTAATTTCTTTTAATTTGGATATTCCATCCACATAGCACGGCTTCTTCCTGTAAGGTTACTGTAAGGATATCTGTAGGGTTTGTTAGGTTACCATGTAATCCACATAGCACGGCTTCTTCCTGTAAGGTTACTGTAAGGATATCTGTAGGGTTTGTTAGGTTACCATGTAAGCCTGCAGTAAACTTGAGGACATCTTAAAACTTCCGCCTTACAGTAAGCTTACACAGTAAAGCTAAGGTAAGCTTACACAGTAAGGTCGTGGTAAGTTTACATGGTTTCCTAGAGGCGCTAATTTAACAAGAACCAAAAAAATCTGTAAACAATTTCATCGTAAGCCGTATTGGATACGCCATTTTGAATTTTTTTAAATCTAACATTAGATTCGTCTTCAGCTACCTCGAAAACCCCCGAGTAGCAAGTTTCAAAGAAATCCAAGCAATTTTTTGAAAAAATCCACTATTTTTAATCCGCCATTTTTAATTTTATTATATATCCAATTTTTATGTTATTAAAGTCATTGAATGCAAATCAACATTTAGAAGAAGCAAAAATTCAGTTTTAGATAAAGAAATTGAGTAAATTCCTATAGAAATCAATTTCTCAAAAATCACCCCCCCCACCATGCCTGTAAAAAGAAAACACGATCTAACTTTTAGGTCGGACTACGTTTTTTCTCTTTAGATACACGTTAAGAAACAAAATCTACCATATGGCAGTCCTGGCAATTAAAATTTTTTTTTATTTTGTGTGCCTGTGTATTTAAATTATTAACAGTATTTACACAATTTTATTTACAGTTTACAAAGTTTCATTGACTATAGTATGAGACTTTTTCCAAACATTATTTAGTTATTAAACTATTTACACAATTGAATAGAATTTTCTTTATTTGTAGTTAGTACTTATCTTTAGTGTCAAAATGGTTGCTGCAGGAAAGATGAGATCTACAAAGTTAAAGTTTACGATGTGAAAAAGCAGGGAGAATTAATGCAGATTAGAATTCCTGACACGAAAACAAAAAACCGAGATCGTTTAATATTAACGCTGAATTCGTTCCCATTGTGGATAAGTATCTCGCTCTTCGACCAAAAAACGCACCGAGAGAAAACTTTGTTTTAAACTTTCAAAAAGGTCGGTGTACAGTTCAAGTAATTGACGTCAATAAATTTGGAAAAATGTTCTGCGAAATAGCTAAATTCTTGAATCTCATCGAACCTGAAGCTTATACAGGACACTCATTCCGTAGAACGTCGGTGACACTCTTTGCAGACTCGGGAGCAAACATTTTAGAATTACAACGCCATGGTGGATGGCCATCAGCTACAGTTGCACAAGGATATGTTCACGAGTCATTAAGAAACAAGAAGAAAACCGCCGACATGTTATCTAATATCATAAATTTTTCTCCAGAAAATAAAGAGCAGAATAATTAAATTCCTTCGACGTCAAAAGAGGTTTTTAAAATTGTCAAAATCGATTCTTCTAGCTAGAACCAGCTCACCTCAGAAAGCTATGGTTTTAAATAATTGCAGCGTTACAATAAACTGCAAAAGAAAAAAAAGTATTTTAAAAATTTATATGTAAACAAAAGTTTATTTTTGTCTTTTAATAAAATTTTATTAATTAAAAGTATTATTAGTCATATTTTATGAAGCATTTTATATAACCAACTTAAATCTGATCTGCAATAAAAATAGAATTCAAAATGAGTATTTTTTAATCCTTACATTCAATTTTTTTAATAAGATTTAATCCTTGTAATTTCGTTGCTTGTTTAAAACTTTAATTACACGATTGGTAATTTAAATATATAAGAAAATAATTTATTTTATTATTTCGATTATGCGATTTTGTTTCTCTTCGGCTGTGGCGGTTCTTAAACTAACGAGTAATTGCAATTTCGTCCAGTAGAGGCGTGTCAATATGAGGGCCCTAGTTCACACTTATTACGCAATGTACTATTTTTAAATAGGGCAAGTAAGTATATATATACTTTTGAGTTGAATATATATATTAGGGGGGCTTTGTCCCGTTTTGAAACCATTGCACTCACCACGAAAAAGCCATCGCCTTCCACTTGATACGCAATATACTATTTCAAATTTTTTAATACTTGAGGCATTTTATATGAGAATACGGGGTCATGTCTCCGATTTTTCTCAAAATTCGGTAAATTGTAGTGATAGTGGTGCTAAATAAGTGTCCAAATTTTGAATTTGAAACTTTTAATATTTTTCGAGATATATACAATAATAAATTTGAGCAATATTTTTTTGCTTTACTTATATCTGTTTCCCTACTAAGAATAGAGAAAAATGTTCTGCATGTTTTTTACGCAGAAGACCTTATTTTATAAAAAAATTACTTTTTAAAAAAATATTACTTTTTAAACAATTTTTTTTTTAAATAAAATTTGTTTATATTTTTTCAATATGTTCTCCCTCATTTTGAAGCGCGAAAAAAATCATGAATATTGTTTAAGTTATAATAAATCGATAGTTAAATTT